CGAGGGCTTCTGGGAATGGCACTGGGTTCCCTCTATTCACAGAGACACCCGAGGGTGAGTGAGCGGACGACGGAGCACCACCAGCAGTAAACAGAGGCATGCTTCTCAGTTTCAGTATTGGTCTGAAACATCAGTTGTTGACCTGGCTGGCAATGAGATCGGAAAAAGGATAAAATGCACACATAGGCTGTGCTCTGTGGAAACTAAAGGACGGTTGAAAGTGGGGAAAACACTGAGCAGTGCCAGCGAAACTCATAAGAAATGTCAGTATCTGCCCCGAAAAATGTGTTTTATGCAGAGAGAGTTAATTTTAGAAAAAGGTAAGAAGTCAAGGGAGAGACAGAGGTGAAGCACCCATGTCTCACTGTTGGACAAGAACGAGTCCTCCATAGTGACGTTTTTTTTAATCACCACTAATTATTCCAACCTTTTACTTTTATTTTTCAATAGCTTAGAATTGTGAACATTTAATTTTCATTAATGAAAGTTTTCAGATATATTTTTGCATTACAGGACATACTGATTTGTATGATGTTACAGCTTTGTAGAAATTATGCATTTATAAATAATAAGAAAAAAGACAGAGGATTATTAACATGCTGACCACACTCAGTATAGGTGACATGACGTTTGAAGGGTGTTCATGACCCCCTGTGAATTGGGGGAGCCACTATGAAAACGTAGCTTTGCTTTACTTCACACTGGAAGAAGCTGAACTACAGCAAAGTTACGTTAGGGAAAAATCTAGTTTGGTTAACAGAAGCTACTTAGAAGAAGAAGTTCAAACTACTCTGTAAAAAAAAAAAGATGAAATTGACAATGCACATGTGAAACAAGATTATAATAGTGTACTGTACAGCTATACAGAAGAGTCAAATACTGTATAAGCAAAAATGCCGCTCAGCTGAGTTTATTGCAAAAAATGCCAACAGGTCATACATAAACCAAAATAAATAGATAAATAATAAACCCCACTATTCATGGGAAGGTGTGAGGAAAGGCAGCTTTGACCCATCAGTCAGGCACCTGCCTTCCAGAAACTAGATTCCAGGTGGGAGCATTGCACCAAGCAGGATAACGCAGTCACTGTAGAAGGTCACGGCTGACACTGAGCGAGAGGCGGGGTACACCCCAGGACCGCCAGCGCATCACAGGGCTGAGTCCTCTGAACATTTTAATAAATAGCAACAATACTACTACTGCAATAACCATAATACTTATGACTACTTGACACCTAATGCATTTAAGTTTATTTTTACAAATTCAAAACATTTTATTCTACAGCCAAATATTGTTCACAGGTGAGCTGACAATCCAGCTTCCTGGAAAACCCCTGAAGCCTAAACCTGCCCTAAACTAAATGATCTGGGCATTTCAGAAAATCCTCCCTTTCTTTTAATGGTCCAGATTTTTTTTTTCCAATAGTTAACTACACATAAAAATGGCAAAAAAGTAATTTAACTACTTGAATCACTATGCAAATATGATTTTAGTTCAACTACCAGCTAGCTATTGTAAAATGTACTAGTTTAATTAGATATTGTTCACAACGTCTTCTGGGAAATCTGGGAAAATTCCGGGCCAGAAAATTTGACAAAACAATTGTTCTGTGTCATATAAACTACCACAGTAAGATATGTACTGTAGGTGTGTGTGTTTGTGTGTGTACACTACGTGCATGTGCTTGAACCTTGGCTTACTCAGACAGGATGCTTCACTTCCTCCTACATGGACTCTGGGCACCCCACACTAGGTGGTCTGACAGCAGTGAGCTCAGACTTGTACCTGCGGTGTCAGAAATGACAGTTTTATGGGTTAATTAACAGGTTAATTACAAATTAAATCATTATTTACCTTCAGTTCATTTAACAGGTGGCTGTTTGCTTGTTAAGCAATCGTCCTTTGCAATATTCCAAACTGACTCACTGACCAAATACAGTCACACACAATGGCCATTTTACTGCGTCAATACTCCAGCATATGGGTGTTTTGTTTCGTAGTAGATACGAAGTAGCTTTGAGAGAATTAGTAGCAGTTTTTATCTGTTGTTTCAGTGAATGAAAGGTGGTGCACAAAGCTCAACAACACATGACGTTGTTTTTATGCCAACAGAAGCCAGAGGTGGAAAGTAACTAAGTACATTTACAGTACTCAAGTACTGTACTTAAGTACAGTTTTGAAGTACCTGTACTTGACTAGAATATTTGCATTTTGTGGTACTTCTTACTTTGACTTTACTACATTTCAGAGAAAAATATTGTGTTTTGTATTCACTACATTTATTTGATCATTTAAGTATTAGTTACTTTTCAGACAAAAGGTTAATAAACTACCCAGCAGTAGTTAAAATTAGCTTTACAAGCCACAACATTAAATGAGAAGCACGTAATAATAATACATCAAACATTATAATCAAATAATGTGATGTACATCAAACTGTACCATTTTTCATAATGAGTACTTTTAATTTTGGTATTTTAAGAATATTTTCTAACACTTTTATACTTTTAATTAAGTAACATTTCAGACGCAGGAGTTTTACTTGTAACAGAGTATTTTTAAACTGTGGTATTGCTACTTTTATTTACCGTAAGTAAACAATCGGAGTACTTCTTCCACCGCTGACAAATAATTTCAAACGTTACGAGGGCCCCTTCAACTGGTTTTGTTCCACTGTTGTTGAGGATGTGAGAACGATGTTCAGAGCCACCTCTCAATTTCACATTCGCTCTCCCCTGCAAATTTATCACAAGTAACTGATTGTAGTTGTCAACAAAATATTTTTATATTATGAAAGGTAATACTTGTGTGCTATTATGGATAAATGTATTTCATTAAAAATGCTATTTTAAAGCTCCCATAGTATGAAACTACATGTATTATTTTAACAGAGAAACATAGTATTATGTTAAATTTCCTTAAAACTGTTTCATTTGTAGTTAACTAAAGTTACAACTAGGCACCACGGCATGTTCACGGGCAGGAAATTAGAACTTAAAGCCGAAATAGATTCAAGAGAGGGTTTTTATTTCCTGAGAAAATGTTGTTGCCTTTATAGGTAGGTAGGTAGGACTTTACTGATCCCACAATGGGGAAATTCCTGTGTTCCAGCAGCAACAAAACACTATAAGAAGGAACACCACACACATATCTTGAGAAACCAATTCCAAAGTATCTAAAACCAAACAGAATCTAGAGACAATCAAGAACAAGAATGATCCTCCCACAATTAATCCCTGAGAACAAATCAAAATACCTAAGAACAAGACAAAATGTAGTATTCAACAGATCAAGAAATCAAGGACAAGAACATTACTCACATAATTAATCCTGCAATGGGGGAAATACCTATATTTCAGCTATGAGGATCTCTGAAAAACTACTCAAAAATACCTAAAATTAGACAATATAAAGTATTCAATAGAAATCAAGGACATGATTTTACACATGTGCATATTAACCATGCATTTTACCCCCAGGATTTGAATGTTGCACCTCAGTTGACTATTGCATAGTCCCTCATAATTTCACCTAGTTTATCACCTAGTCTGTGGGGAGGAACGACCTATGGTAACGCTTCTTCTTGCACTGGGGATGTAACAGTCTTGTGCTGAAAGAACTGTTCAGAGCCTCCACTGTGTGGTGCAGGGGATGGGAGGGGTTATGCATGATGGATGTTAGTTTTGCCAGCATCCATGACGGAATCCATCTCTTTTTTCTTGCTGGTGTTCAGGACCAGGTGATTTTCTTTACACCACTCCACAAAGTCAGTAACAACCCCCCTATATTCCCCCTCGTCCCCCCCAGATACACATCCAACAATAGCAGTGTCATCTGAGAACTTTTGTAGGTGACAGTGGTGGCAGTTGTATTTGAAGTCTGACGTGTAGAGGGTGAACAGAAAGGGGGAAAGCACCGTCCCCTGGGGTGCCCCCGTGCTGCAGACCACCATGTCCGACACACAGCCGTGCAGCCTTATGAACCGAGGTCTGTCTGTGAGGTAGTTAATGATCCATGCAGACAGGTGTTTCTTCCACACCTGCCCCATGCACACAGATTGTGTAGAACTCTCTGTTGAGATTACATTATTACAGAAAGACATCACAAATTAGTTCAAAGGTTTTGTCCCAATTGTCATTAGAGACAGACATGGTGGGGGAAACAAATCATGGCTCTCATTAACACTCACACATGCAGGTATTGTGTCACTTTATCAGCTTGAGCTGAACTAATGCACTGCAGTAACAATAGGCTTTTTATATGGGCAGGGCGGTGTGTGATAGAGGTTCCTTTGCTTAAGCAGACTCACTAAAAAGGATTTCATCTTAAGATTGTCTCAAAATCCAAACACTGTTATCATAGGCCTACTTAGCAAACACTGGAAACATTTACTCTGAAAACATTTAAATCTAAAATATCAATGAACACTACACATACACATTTTACTTACTTAGTATTTTACTAAAAAGTTCATGCAACCAATTCCACAAAGGCTCACCACTCTGTTAACTGGTCCAGTTAGAAAATGTTTTCTTTATTACATGCAGTATTTTTCAGCATGTAATAAAACAAAAATCTGAAAGGAGCAGTAAACAGAGTTGCAAGTCTTTGTGGAATAAATGTAAAATGTGAGCACAAACGTTTCCTGTGCAAAAACCTATGGGAGTGTGAATCCTCACACTCAGAGCAGCAAAGTTAAGATGTAAACACGGCCGCATGTTTCTGAGCAGCACCAAAGAGTCCCTGCAGGGTGTCGAGCCCCAGAGCAGCATCACTGCTCCTGAGCTTTCTGACGGTAGATGGAGCCACAGTGTTGGGGCCTTTACTTTGATACGAGCGCACACAGTGTCGAAACCAAGTTAGGACTATTGTACAAGTTTAAAGAAGTCAAGCTCGGATTGGCTGCAGTGTGCACCCAATAGGATTCGGTCAGAGCAGGAAAACAATAGTCCTGAAGGTCCGTGTGAAGTCAAGACTATTTTTGGAGGAGCCCGCCTTTCTTGCTATTTCTGTCAGCAGGAGAGCGGAGGGGTGGGCGCAGCACTCGAGGGGCCGGACTTTCTTTTCTGCAACTTGCCTCCGATAAGGCTGCTTTTGTTTTCCTCCTCCACTGTAGTGTGTAGTGACAACACCAGCGGCTCTCACCATCACCTCCCGTCAGGTCCTGTTCCCTTTGGCACTGGTTTAGCGCACCAGAATCCATTGGACCTTAGCTGGATTATCTTTAAGGTGTCTGGACTCAAACTGTTTCAACAGGCTTTTACTGTAAGTGTTTACTGTTTGATTCTGTCATACGGGGTCGGAAACATTGGGTGTGTTGAGCTGTGATGTGGAAACACTCGTTAAATGTTTTTATTTTATTAAGTGTTGTGTTATACGTGTCGGAATTTTGGGGTTGGTGAGGAGAGATGTGGGAGGCGAGCTACCTGCGCAGGTGTGTGCTCTGTTTTAATTGCTCACGAATGCGCAAAAGTGCGCAAAAATAACTCTTCATCTTATCGTGAACAAATACAGCCATAATAAACAGTTGTCTACGTGAGGTTATTTGTGTTATTTTTAGCGTTTTGGTGAAGCCTGTGAGTCACAAACCTGTAATTCCTCATCAGTCATTTCTCTTAAATTACTCAGAGTACTGGCCCATGTCTTCGACTTGACTGGGGGGTTTTGCTGCTAAACAAATCTTGGCCAGCATTAGTTTAGCAGCAACAGGTCTACCACACACACGCACACACATAGGATGTTTAGATTACACGCGCATTGTTTGCCTGTTCTGCTACTAATTTTGTGCGTGTTTTTGCGGGTTCCTGAGTGTTTTATTTCTGCAGTACCTTCCACATTTTGCGATCCGTCTGGGTCAAGTATTAGACCTGACAGGTGGGTCCTGAGCCCCGCAGCACCCAGGTCTGCTCATACAGAGCTGGAAAGTAACTAAGTACATTTACTCAAGTAGCCTTCTGTACTTAAAAATAATTTTGAGGCATCTTTACTTTGAGCATTTTCATGTTCTGCTACTTCGTACTTAGACTTCACTATTTTTTAGAGAAAAATATTGTATTTTGTGCTCACTGCCTTTATTTGACGCTGCTGTGAAATTCACATGCTACCTGGCTATGTAAAGTACTTCAAATTCTAAGAATATAAGCTAGTTATTAGCTCCACCTTTACCAGCTGTAACCTTAAATGTGATGAACACAATAATGCATCAGTAATTATAATCCAGTAATGTAATGTGACGTGCCATTGTACTTAATGAGACCTTTCACTTTTAGTACTTAAAGTGTATTTTTATGCCGGTACTTTGTGTTTTGAGTAACATTTTGAATGCAGAACTTGTGACAAAGTATTTTTACACTGTGGTATTGCTACTTTTACTTAAGTAAAGAATCTGAGTACTGCTTCCACCACTGCCTTTGACTCATCTCTGTTGGCAGGAGTAGGTTATGGTGGCCTGCAGTTGACACTTTCACAACAGAATGGAGAATTTGAGATAAGCAACAACATTTTGATCCAGTGTGGAACTCACAGCTGCTTGTTACCAGACTTTGTTGCTGCTTTATATTGTGGATGAGCTGCATTTCACTCTCTTACTTCTCGGTTTGTCTCCACAGATGGATTCGGCACCTCTGGGAACATCGTAAAGACAGACAGACAGATAGGACCACATATTTCCTGCAGTGGCAGGTAGGGTTTTTAACCTCCTAAAAGAAATGTAGCCTATGAAATACCAACTGAAACTTAATAAGTGGTTGTGGGTCTGTAAGATTTTACACAAGCCTCGGCACACAGCTGTCAGCGCTGAAACATTCTTGTGGAAAAATCCAGTCAGTCTACAGCTGACCTGCTCAGAACTACTTTTCGTCATCTTTACAACATTTTTTTTTTTTTTTTTTACTGTGTACATATACAGTACATGACACAGTTTGGGTGACAGGAGTTTTTCCAGTGCAGTGTATATCTAAGCTGTTTGATTTTTAGAGAACTGCCATAAAGCACAGAGCAGGTGTTGGCCTAGTTGGAGAGAGATACTCGGTCCGCTGCGTGTTTTTCATGTGTAGGTTTCGACATCTAGATTTGCTGCTTCTGCAGCTCATACAGAAATATAGTTCATTATGTATAAAAACAACCTACAAAAGTATGTTAAGCTAAATTTCACATGAGATGAAATTATAGTAGATGTTGTGTAGCAGTAAAAATATCCAGTTGTAGTTTTTTTTAAATTGTCAGTTTAAAGTAGTCTTGCTGGGAATGTAATAACCAGCCAGTGGGGCCAATTTACAACACTTTAGGATTCACTTCACTTTTTCAATTTCACTTCCATAATTGCATCATCAACATCTAGATTTATCCAAAAGTGTCTTCTACAAATAATGTCCATTTGTAGCTATCACTTGATTCTGAATGTGGATAGTAAAATCGACAACACTGACTAATAGTAGTTATAAGCAGGATGTGAACTTGAGCTAATACATTTATCTCAGGAAATTTCCTGCTAAATAAGAGACTAAGATGACAGGTCTTCTTTTGAATAATCGTCCATTTTCCATCATGAGCAGCAGCAGATATCTCCGTGGCAAATAGGTTCATGGCAAATATGTCTCCGCTCTGCTTCCCCTCACTATGTAAGGAATTTTAGAAACATCACCGCAGCTCAGCCCGGTTTCTGCTGACTCACATGGGAAACATGCAGAGGTTTCATCCCCAACCTGAGATCAAAATGTATTTGATCCACTGCTCCACCCATCAGAAACAAGTCACTTGGCTGTTTCCATGGTGTCCTGCCTTGTAGTTTAGATTAGCATTTGCCACTGTGAGGCAGGCCTGTGTGATCACACTGTGTAGGATTACAATGCATGACTCTCTGAATGGAAGCCGGATCTTGTTGTGCCGGACCCCGCTGACTGTATGCTATCCAAGGACCTGCTATGTGCTTTGTGAATGTGTATATACTGTGCCTGTATGTGTGTGTGTCTGTGGAAAACCCGATGAAGTCATGGCCATGGCTGCAGGCTCTGGTTACATGTATTGTCCATGCAGGGCATTGTCTTTCTCTCTAATCTCTCGCTCCACACTCACACACACAAACTCAAATAGACATGTAACCTCACATTAAAGCATGTTCACTGTTGAACATAGTGCCCTGATGCCAGGCATCTCTGAACTTGGAGACTGGTTAGCATCTAGTCTGAGGTGGCAGCAGTCTGGGCCACATGTGTAGAACATGTGAAACCACCATTTTAAAAGCCTCTAGAGCCCTGGCAGCCCTTAAACTACCCAGGGCTGCCATAATAGACATGTCAGCCCGTTTCATGCTGTGTGTACATGTGCAGTACAGTTCACTCTCTTTTTCTGCTCTTTTTTTGCTTTCCTCTCTAAATATATGTTTTTTGTTCTGTCCTCTGCTGCACTGTGTAAAGAAGGGAGACACTTAAGGGACTGATAACAAGCATTGATTGTAAAGAGGTGCAGTGGAGATCACATATCCTGTTCCTGGTCCTGGTTTCCAAGCACTTAGGTCAGCCGATCTGAGTGATTAGCTTCCTTTCATCACTGGTTTCTGTTGAATGGGAGAGCTGGTGGAGGAAGAGCTAGTTGAATTCGCTAGTGTGGGGGTAAACAGCGAAAAATACATTTAGTTAATGCTGCAACTAATTATTTCATTATTGAGTAATATGTTTATTATATTTGCTGAAATGTTTAATCATTTGGTCTATTGTGAAAAATGCCAAAGGAAAATTGATTGTTTGCTTCAGGTATTCAGTTTAATATCAACAAAGGTTGAGAAAACCAGCAAATATGGTATTTTACATTTTGAAATGTTTTGTTACATGCTGCTAGTACATGCTCCCATTTTATGAATCATTTAATGCTGAAGACAAAGCTTACATGTCCTCACTTCATTATATGTCTGAGTAACCTGACGTTTCTTTAACATTTAATCAGAGTACAGAGGTAATATATCACTAAGCAACATGGTAATGCTGTTTATTCAGCACTACATGGTGCTTCATCTGAAATTTCCTGAGCTTTTGTTCCACCACAGTATAAAGTCATTGAATCAGCAGCTGCCCCCAAAGTTGATTGAGGTTTCTGCAATAATCTCCTACCACATTAAGCTCTACAGATGTATTGTGGTCATTTTGAGCTATGGGGGTTCTTAAAGCCAAGCTGCAATGCAAATACACACTGTGCAGTAGTTGTAATAACAGTAGACAGCAATGAAGGAGGCGGTTATTTTTGACCTGCTGCACCAATGGTGTGATTGTCCTGCCTCTAGGTGTGTGAAATCACTTGATGTCTGGGGTAATGCTATATAATACTCTCCAAGGGGTCCCATAGCACCCAGTGTGCAGGTTCCTACTTTTCATGTCTGTTAATTGTGTGTGTGTGTGTGTGTGTTGACAGCGAACACATATTTATGGTATTTTTGTGCAAACGGCACAGAGAGACTGTGTGTATGTGGTGTGGCCTGAGGTAACACTGCCCCTAACGTTTATTAGTGTGTCAAATCAATTCATGTTGCATTAACCTCTGAGCTACAGGCTCCTCGTTGCGGTCAGCTGGGTAACTGCTCTGTGATTGGCCTCCAGCCGCAGTCTAGATCCCCCTTGGGTCTTTTCTCTGTCTCTCTCTTTAAAACATGGTGCACGTAGACACATGTAATCCCTTTGAAATTTACTGAAGTAGATGGAATTATTTTTGTAAGGATTTATTTCTGTGGCATTTGGGGAGAAAACCCTTCAATTTTCACCCCAGTCCCACCCACTACTCCAGACCAGAAGTCTTGGATCTAAAAAGCATTCTTTAGCCTCCAGTGATTTGTGTCTCACCATTAGTTTCTATCAAAAATCACATTTACTTTGTTTAGGATCACAGCAGGGGCTCAGTGTTCACAGGCTGGTGAGAACTGTTCCTGAAGCCATAAATACGGAGCATTTCTGCCTGTATTCAATCACATTTTTGAACGTTTTCATTATTTTAAACTGAGTACACTTCAAATGGTTACTGCCTTACTCCCTGTGATAAGCCACAAACATCTTTTAAATTAAAATTTAAATGTGAAATATTTACTTAAGTGAAAGTTTGACGGTTCTCATGTTAGTCACATATGTGATATATGGCAACCACATGTATCAGTCTAACCCTAACAAGTTTTCTGAACCAGACTCCTCACTGTATTTTGATACAGTCTGATCTATGTCGCAGCACAGAGAAATAGTCGGCTCACGCTCACTGCAGCTCACCGAGGCGACTGACACCGACCTGGGATCCGATAGCCCGTTGTGAGTGTTCATGTAACAGGATCTCCTCTCATCTGGACGGCCCTCTGACTTCACATCTGTCCGTGTGTGATGAACGGTCTCCAGCTATAGCCTTAGGCTAATTTCGGCATAGTGGAGGAGGAAGCGTAATGCATGTTTATATAATGTGTGTCTGGGTCTGTCTGTGGGTGTGTGCACTTGTCAGGGCGTTTTGTGTGTATTAGACGGGTTTCTTAGAGAAACACATTTTGGGGATGCACACACAAAAGGTACAGGATAACAGAAAACAGCTCTGCTGAGAGCAAAAGTGAGCAGAGCTGGCGAGTAGTAAACAGCTCATCACAAATGTTGTCATTATTGATTAATTTATTTATACTATTATTGAATAATTTATTTATTATTTCTGTGTGTGTGTCCATCCTTGACCAGAGCATCGAGCATGTGCAGGAATCTTAATGTCTTCTTCCTTTGTTGTCCGTGCAGACAGCCGAGTGTGACTGTGCATATTTATGAAGCTGCCTTCCTGGAACACATTAACATTTACCAAGTAAGAATGTAGATTTAAAAAAGAAAGAAAGAAATAATTTGAAAGGAAGCAAAAAGAATAGAGAGAGAAAGAGACTCGGTCTGTATAATGTAGAAATAGAGAAGGGGGGATGGAACGATTTAACAGAGTAAGAACATGAAGTAAGAGACGGAGGTCGAAGTCACAGTCCTGTCAGTACATACACTTCAGCTCATTCATGTCTTGTAATTGCCACAGGAATGAAAAGTGAGTTTTATTTGAGTTGCTCAGGCAGCCCTGGAAGTCGTGTTCATCATGAAAACAAAACAACAGAAAACTCAAAGGTCATGTGACACAGCTTTTAGAAATATAAATAAAATGACTGAAAACTTTGTTGCTGGTTTTTCCTTGCGTATTTGTCAGATTTTTCTTTCATTTCAGAAGCTAAAAGACCGGTTATGATTTGTACAGTGTTCCTGTACCGATGAGTCTTCGATAGGAAAGAGAGGATGCTGACAGGACTCGTTCGATTTGCTGGTGCATTGGTCTAATTAATTAAATGCTCTTTTTTTATATATAAAAAAAGTTATTAAACAGAAAGTGAGTCGAGGGCCTATCTCGAATCTTTATTCAGCAGAAAACAATAAAATTTTCCTTGAGCTAAGTTCGTGTCTAATTTTGTGGCAGGGTGGACTTTACTGCACTGCAGCAGGATAAGCAGATGTCTGTGCTCCGTCTTATCATCAGAAAAGTCTTTGCTGCACATTGTTCTTTTTTTTTGCTGCTAATCTCTTCACCGCTACCAAAGCCCATCAGCCACCCATTAACCACCGTTTTCACAACTCACTGAATTTGACCACTGCAAGATGTTATCAGCAAGATCAATCAAGCCATTATAAATGATTTCCTCTTGCACG